TTCAGTTCTTCCTTTGTGAAAAAACATTTAAAAATTTTAGGTGATCATGTGAATATTGTATAAGCCTAATTTCCTACAAAGACAGTACCATCCCTATGTATTACTGTTTTACAAAATTGAAAGCATTACAATGTAAATTCCTATTTAGATATTTATGTTTTGCTAAGTCAAATGAATTGAGGTCTAATATTTAGTAGATGCTTTTTAAAAGAGAATAACTAAGGTAATTACTTTAAAACCAGTCATTTGGCTCATATCCTTGCATCTAGTGGCTTCTGATGTTCTTCATTATGAGTCGTATCATCTTAGAAATTCAGGAGAGAGGTCTGCATGGGTAATGCTTTACTGTAATAGTTAACAATACAAGCTATCTTTTATGAAGTTCTTAATACATGTCCGGCATTTTGCTGGAATATATGCATATGTGTGTATATATAATTTCTAATCCCTTCAAGCTACTTACAAGGATTCACATTTTACAGGTAAAGAAACAGATTCTGATAAGTAAATTAGCCTGCCTAAAATCATTAATAGTAAATTATAGAAGCCCGTCCAACTCCAGACCCTTTCTCTTACCCCTTGACCACATATCTCTACTTCAAGAGGTCTGGTGGTAATCATTAAATTGATTAGCATTGATAATACCAATGTTCCAAGATACTTAGATGTTATTTCCAGACTTATTTAAATATTAAATACCAGTAAGCCCAAAGTTACTATGTAGTTGACAAAGCTCAGAAACTTATAAATCAGTTTTAAGGTCGCAGTCACACTTCCATGGATGTAAATGTCATTGAGCAACATATCTAATCTGATCTTATAGAATGTTCATTTCTCTGGACCTTTTTGAATTCCACAATACTTTGAAAATAACTGTAGTGTGCCTGATATCACATCTGCAGAATGTCCTCAGTTTGAAGTCTGTCCCCAGTAGAACTAGGAGAATGGCTTTTGCTCTTTTTTGGGTTTTCTTTTTACTGTTGAGTTGTACGAGTTCCTTATATATTCTGAATATTAGACCGTTATCAGATATATGATTTGCAAATATTTTCTCCTGTCTTGTGGATTGTCTTTTTACTTTCTTTCTAGTGTCTTTTGATGCATAAGTTTTTAATTTTGATGAAGCTCATTTTGTCTATATTTCTGTGGTTGTCTGTGCTTTCGCTGGCATATCTAAGAAACTGGTGACTAAGATCACAAAGATTTACAGCTGTTTTCTTCTAGGAATTTTATAATTTTAGCTTGTATACTTAGATATATGATGCATTTTGTATTAATTTTTGTATATGGTGTGAGGTAACAGTCCAACTTCATTCCTTTGCATGTGGATATCCAGTTACTCCCACACCATATGCTGAAAAGACTATTCTATCCATCATTGAATTGTCTTAGTAGCCTTGTTGAAAATGAATTGACCATACATGTAAGGGTTTATTTCTGTACTCTCAATTCTGTTTCATTAATCTACATGTCTCTGCCAGTACCTCACTGTTTTGATCACTTAGCTTTGTAGTAAATTTTGAATTGGGAAAACATATGGTCTCTCCTGGAGAATGTTCCATGTGTAATTGAGAAGAATGTGTATTCCACTCTTATTGGACAGAGGTGTTCTATAGATGTCTGTTTGGTGTAATTGGTTTGTATTGTTGCTCAAATCTTCTATTTCTTTTTTCATCTTCTTTTCAGGTGTTCTCTTTATTATTGAAAGTGTGATATTGAAGTTCCTAACTATTATTGTTGAATTGTCTAATTTCTCCCTTTAATTCTGTCAGTTTTTGCTTCATATATTTTGAGCTCTGTTATAAATGTTTATATATATGCATACATTTTTATAATAATTTTATTCTCTTGATACATTGACCCTTTTATCACTATAAATAAATGTCTTTTTTTTTTTTAGTAGCAATTTTTGTCCTAAAGTCTGTTTTGTCTGATATTAGTACAGTCATGAGCTGCATAATGACATTTCAGTCAAGGCCAGACCACGTGTACAATTGTGGTCCCATAAGATTAGTACCATATAGCCTAGGTGTGAGTGGGCTATTTCATCCAGGTTTGTGTAAGTCCACTCTGTGTTGTTCACACAATGATGGAATCACCTAACAATGCATTTCTCAGAACACATTCCTGTCTTTAAAAAACATAAGACTGTGTAGCTATAGTAGTTCTATTTTGATTAGTATTTTCATAGTATATCTTCTTCCATCCTTTGTCTGTCAGTATATTTTTATCTTTGAATCTAAAGTGTGTCTCTTTTAGACAGCGAGTGGTTGGATCATTTTTTTTAACATGATGCCAGTTTCTGCCTTTTAATTGGTGTGTTTAATCCATTTTTGTTTAGTGTAATTACTGATAAGGTGGGATATACAACTCCTATTTTGCTATTTGTTTTCTATATGTCATGTCTTTTTTGTGATTTACTACCTCTTTTTGTGTTAAATAGATTAGTTTTTACTGCACCACTTTAATTCCATTGTCATTTCTTTTTCTACTTTTTTAATTTTTTTAAATATTTTCTTAGCCTGCCCTGGAGATTGCAATTTACATCTTAAATTATATCAGTCTTTTTCAGATTTATACCAACTTAGTTTTGAAAGTATACAAAAACTTTGCTCCTCTATAGCTCCATTCTTACTCTCCCACCCTTGTGTTGTTACTATCATACAAATTACAACTTTATACATTGTGTGCCTTACAGCACAGATTTCCAATTATTTCTTCATGCAGTTGTCTTTTAAGTCAAATAGGAGAAAAAAAGAGTTACAACAAAAAATGCATTTACATACTGTCTTTTATATTTACCTAAGTAGTTAGCTGTACCAGTGTTACTCTATTGGTTCATGTAGATTCAAGTTGCTGTCTAATGACCTTTCACTTTGCCTGAAGGACTACTTTTAGTATTTCTTGTAGAGCATAGTGATGAATTCACTCAGTTTTTGTTTACCTGGGAATATCTTAATTTTTTTCTATTTTTGAAGGATTGTTTCTCTGGATGTAGAATTCTTACATCAGTTGATGCACAGTTGACAGTCTTTTTCTTTTAGCACTTGGAATGTAGAATCCCATTGTCTTTTGGCCTCCACAGTTTCTCTTAAGAAATCAGCTTTTGATCTTATTGGTGAATTCTTGCACATGATGAGTAGCTTCTCTCTTGCTGCTTTAAGATTCTCTCTTTGCCTTTGTCTTTCAACATTTTGGCTGTGATGTATCTAGATGTCTGTCTCTTTGAATTTATCCTTCTTGTAATTTGTTGAGCTCTTGCATGTGTAAAGTTTTTCATCAAATTTGGAACGTTTTTAGCTGTTATTTCTCCAAATAATCTTTCTACTTCTTTCTCTTTTTTCCTGAATATCTCAGTATGCATATGTTCATATTTGATGATGTCCCACAGGTTTCTGAGACCCTGTTCATTTTTATTCATTCTTTTTCTTTTCTTCCTCAGACTGGATATTCTCAACTTATCTATCTTCCAGTTCACTGATTCTTTCTTCTGCCTAGTCATATCTGCTGTTGAACTTCTCTGGTGAATTTTTAATTTCAGTTATTATACTTTGCAACTCAAGAACTTCTTTGGATTCTTTCTATTATGTTCTATATGTGTGTTCTCTATTTGGTGGGGCATTGTTCTCATACTTTTCTTTAGTTCTTTAGACACAGGGTATCCTTTTGTTCCTTGAATATATTTCAAATAACTGATTTAAAGTCTTTGTCTAGTAAGGCCAATGTCTTAGCTTCCTCAGGGACAGCTTCTCTTGATTACTTTTTTCTTGAGTATGGGCCATACTTTCATCTTTCTTTGCATGTCACCTAATTTTTTATTTAAAACTGGACATTTAGTATAATGTGTCAACTGTGGAAATCAAATTCTCCTCCTTCCTCAGGATTTTGTTTTTGGTTTTGGTTTTGGTTTAGTGACTTTTCCAAATGATATTATAAAGTCTATCTTTATCAAATGTTTTCACTGAAGTGTCGCCCCTCTGTTGCCTTAGTGGTCAGCTAATGATTAGACAGAGATTTTATTGAATGCCTGGAAACAAGTCCCTAATCTTTGCCAAGACCCTATGGGTGCACGTTGGAGCATGTCTTCAACACTCAACCAGTCAATTTACAACTAACTCTGCCTTAGCCTTGCCTTTACTAGAGCTCAGGACCTTGTCATGTCTTTCCTGTACGTGTACATGGCACTGTGCATGTACATAGCTTTCTAGATCCCACGAATATGTCAGAGCTTCTCAAAGCCCATATGGACATCTCATTCCCCCACTTTTCCTTGTAAGCTTTTTGAATAGACTATTGTTTGCTCCAGTTTTTCTCCACCACCTCAGACAGCTGAAATCTTAAACAGTTGTCTCTAATTATTTTCTTCAAATACTCCCATGGGAAAGGCTTTTCATACTGGATGAGCTCCAAGTATCAGGTATAAATAAATAAAATAAAATAATAAATAGTTACTATTTATTTCTAAATACAAATAAAATTTATTATTACAAACAAATACAATACATGAATAAAAATAAAGACAATCCTCTGGCAATGGGATTTTGAAAGCACTCCACCCTGCTCTGCCCCCTCCAGTGACCTCCAGCCTGCTGGTTTCCGCCATGATTGTGGCTCTTGGTTTTCAAGAGCTGTGCAGAGCTGGGGGTGAGGGGTGGCAACAGGACAAGTTAAAACAACACAAAACTCACTGTTCATACCAAGGTTCAGCCAATTTTTTAAAAAATAAATGCTCCCTAGATGTCTGCAAACCTTTGGTTAATTTCCAGAGTTGTGAAAATGTTGATTCTGACAATTTTTTCCAGTTTCTCCTGGCCTTTGTAAAGATAATTTTTGGAGGTTCTTCATCATTTTCACTAATGTCACTCATATTTTTCTTTACACTATAATTAGATAGACAGTTAAGTGCTAGCTGAATTAATAAAGATTCACTAAATGCAGAATGCATCTTTATTCCCAGAAACTTCTCTGAACTTTTTTCTGCTTCTCCTGTTATATTTTAGGACTATGATGATGGATATGGCACTGCTTATGATGAACAGAGTTATGATTCCTATGATAACAGCTATAGCACCCCAGCCCAAAGGTAAGAGTAAACCTTCATGACCAGACACTTGTGCCTTCCACATTTATATACTCTGAGAAAGGATGATGATCGGCCAGTAAGGGTAATTTGACTTGATCTGCTTTGTCTTTTGTTTGTTTTAATTGGAGAAGCACTGTCTGTCCTACCAACTGGCGTGTGTTCCTCCTCACAAATTTACTTTAGTGTTGAAGCAGTGAGACTTGGGAAATAAAAACTGAAATTTTATTTACTCTAAAAACTTGACTTAAGTGTTCAGTATATTCTGAGGAGGAACAATGTCTACAAAGTCTGTGGCTATTCAAGTCCTGAGGCCCAAAATCAAACCAGAAATATGTAACAGTCCTACGTTGTCAATGCTTGGGGAAGAAAGTGCCAAAAGTTTTGTTTCATATTCATAGAACATTTCCATTTTCTTAGCAGCAGAGCTCCTGTTTTCTAACAACTTCAAATTCCTATTTGTGAGTATGAGTTAGTTCTGATTCATTTTCTAAAGAAGTATTTACCCAGAAATAAGTAAGTATTATCAGAGGCAAAACAGAGCTTTATTGTTACTTCTTCTGATAATATGCCTTGATGTTCACTGATACATGAAATCAGTGTTTATTCTATTCAGAGTGTTTTCCTAAATGCCGAGAAACCTCTTGCTTGTAAGTGGAGGACAAAGATAGACATACACAAAACAAAATATTGGCTTTATGAAGCATAAAATATGTATGGACTATATAGCTATTTTTATGAAACATAAATTAACTTTTGAACTCGTAACTGTGTCAGGCAAGCTTTGAACAGATAGGTACTCTTATTTAACTCTGGTACTGAGGTTGACAGGGATATAAATTTTTTTTTTTCTTTTTCTTCATGCCAAATTTTTTTTCTTATGTAACTTGTAGCAATTAAGTTGCCTTCAAACTTTGACTCTCAACTGGTCTTTTTTAGTGGAAGCCTTGTGCATCATGTTTGTATCCTTGAGAGTGTTGGCCTACCCTAGAGTGAGTGGTGCTAGAGGATTCTATGCAAGACTTTACATCTAGTATCTCATTTAAGTGTTCCAGCAACTTTATGAAGTTTGTGGTGCTGTTCCTGTTGTATAGATGAAGAAAAGGAGCACAGAGCATAACATTAAGTAATTTGCCAAAAATCACACATGGAGTTTAATCCTAGACTTGTATGTCTCATTTAGTCTGAATGGCAGCAGCAAGAGTTAATGTATCTCTACTTTACAGATGATGGAACTGAGGCTCAGAAGTAAATGACTAATCCAGAATGTGAACTTAAATCCAGAACAGAATGTGAACTTAGATCCAGAAAGCTTATAAAGTCCATCCAGTCTAAGCTGTGATAACATATTAATATGATTGGTCACAAGCATTCATTCCTTTGGTCATTTATTAAGCTGGCATTTATTGAATGTCCACTATATTAGGCACTGTGCTTGATGTTTGGGATACAAAGATTATTGAGGCAGAGACCCTCTCCTTCAAAAGCTCACAGGCTAGAAGGAAACAAATATAAATATGTAAAAGCAATATAGTATGGTAATCACTGTGAGAAGTCTGAGGAAAAACTTGATATTTCCATAAGAAGGCAATGTTCAAGTCTGGTTGGGAATACTGGAGACATTTCACAGAGAAAGGGAAGGATAAGTAGGAGTCACCAGGGTACAAACAGGGAAGGGCATTTCACAAGGCCAGAACAGCAAGCATTTTTCTGGGAACTCCTCATTGTTTTGCTGAGCTAGAGTCTGTGATACACAAGGAGAGAGAGGAGGCGGGAGGAGGAGCGGCTGCATGTTCCCTGCTCGAGGAGCCAAGGCTTGATGCTTCAGGCAGCAGTAGGGAGCCATCGAAGAGTTACGTGCAAGGAAATGATGTTTAAACTTGGATTCAGAGAAATTAATTAGCTGGTGATGGAGGGGCTAGATTGACAGATGGTGAGCCTGGAGGCAGAGATCAATTAGGAGGCTGGTACATTATAAATTATAAGCCCTTTAAATGTCAGAAAAGGCTCACTTTAAGAAACAACTTGCATGACAGCCAATTTACCTTCTTTGAAGTGATCTTTTCAGTGCTACAACTCATCTTCCCTGAAGGAGTACAGAGAAGTGTATGAGTATTGTACACATTGGCAAGTGCAGAAACCACTGTTTGTTAGGTATTCTGAATATTCATTTAATTATTATAACCTGTGAAATAAACATCACTCCTTTTAAGGAGGAAAACTGTGGTTCACAAAAATTAGGTAATTTGCCTAAGATCAGGCATCTTAAAAGCGGAGTGAAACTTTGAACCAAGGTCTGACTACAGTGTCTTCCTCTGTAGCATTCAGGCTTAACTAAGCAGTTGCTCTATTGTAAATCCAAATAAAGCAGCTAGAGTATGGATTAGGGTGAAGAAATGGTTTTATGCACTGTGTTAGTTTGCTAGAGTTACCACAACAAAATACCACAGCCTGATGGCTCAAGCAACAGAAATTTATTTTCTCAGAGTTCTAGAGGCTGTGCAAGATCAGGTGTTGGCAGCTTTGGTTTCTTGAGGCCTCTCTCCTTGACTTGCAGACAGCCACCTTCTCCCTGTGTCCTCGCACGGTCTTTCCTCTGTGCACGGCATCCCTGCTGTCTCTCTGCGTATCCAAATTGCTTCTCTTATGATGACACCAGTCAGACTGGATTAAGACCCATGCAAGGCCTCGCTTTTAACTTAATCACCTCTTTAAAGGCCCTGAAATGCAGTCGCGTTCTGAGGTTATTAGGGGTTAGGGCTTCAGCATATGATTTTGGGGGGGAGGCAGTTCAGCCCATAACATGCACGTATTATAACATTAGTTTAAGCACAACGCTGTATGTCTCAGAATTAGAAATCTACTATAAACCAGTGAAGATAGCAAATTTTCAAATTGTCCCCAGGATCAAATAGTAGGTATTAACAAGGAAATCACCATCACCATCATATTCAGTTACTGGGTGTGTTTACTGTGTGCTTGGTGCTATTCCAGGGACTTCACATAAATTCCCTCTCCCCTCTCAGCATGCCCTGAAATACTACAAAATTCAAGTCTAAACATGCCTTTCTCTTGCATACAGGTTCAGAGAGGTTAAATCACTTATCTAGACTCACAAGGCTGAGCAGTGCTACAAATGCACGTTGGCCCTAAAGCATTCTCTTTTGTCCTCTGCTCCACTGCCTTTCCACTCTCCTTTTTCATGGTTTTTATTTCAGTTGCTGAAACTAATTCCTATTAGTATTTCCTATATACACTATTCAAAAATCTAATGCTTTGTGATGCTTTCGAATCCCTTAGGAATTATGTTTCCATCTGAACTGGAAGTGTTGCCTTATCAGACTTGGGACTACTTTAATCAAACCTAAGAATTTCATTTATGTTGCATATTAATGTTGTAGACTAAAACTAATGAAATTAAGAACTTTATTTTTCCAGTTTTACGTTAGATCCTTTCAGCAAATAACATTCACTGCCACTACTCTCAAGGAGCCTTAATATTGACTAATAGATAATACCATGTGACACTTGAGATTCTGTAGTCTAAAATTCCTTGATTTTGCCACTTCCGGTTCTATGAAATTAATTTCATACTTCAATAATTCTCTCAATTTAGAATTTGAAAGTCTATTCTATGCTATAGTTATATAGTTCAGTGTTACTGCAGAATTCTTTACTTGATCTCCTTTTAAATTACAAAGCTATTCTCAAAATGTTCTTTGACATATCATGATGTAGTCGAAAGAGCCCTGAGCAGAAGTGAAAACTGCACCCTCCACTGTGGTAGCCACCAGTACATATGGCTGTTGAGTACTTGAAATGTGCTGGTCCAAAGTGAGGTGTGCTGGAAGTGTAAAGCACACACCAGATTCCAAAGACAGTGTGAAATCAAGAATGTGAAATATGTTAAATTTAATTTTACCTGTTTCTTTTTACTTTTAATCTGGCTACTAAAAAACTTTAAATTACAAATTTAATTTTGGACAGCCAGAGTTAAGACTCTGGCTGTGTCTCTGGCACTACAGCACAGTGAAATGCCTCCAGATTAGGGCACACACACCCTCGGGGTAAGCAGGTCAGCTCACGAGATGCAGAAAGAAAATGAGAGCGCGTCAACTCATATTTGTCCTTTTTAAATTACTATTTTGATGTTTTGTGCTGTGTGTAAGATATAACTTGTTAATACTATAGTACACGTTACACATAAACAATTATAGTTACAAGCTCAAAAGTAGTTTTCTTTCCAAAAGTGGTTTTAGATCTCAACTTTAACATTTACTGGTCATGTGACTTTGGGCAAGTTTTTTCACCTCTCTAAGCCTCAGTTTGTAAAATGTGTAACTTAGTTTCTGCTTTAGAGGGTCATCCTTTTTTTGTGTGTGTGTGAGGAAGATTAGCCCTGAGCTAACATCTGATGCCAGTCCTCCTCTTTGTGCTGAGGAAGACTGGCCCTGGGCTAACATCCATGCCCATCTTCCTCTGCTTTACATGGGACATTGCCACAGCATGGCCTGACAAGCGGTGCATCAGTGCACGCCCGGGATCCGAACCTGCAAACCCGGGGCCACCGAACCAGAGCGCGTGAACTTAACCGCTATGCCGCCAGTGTCATCCTTAAGGTTGATGAGACAGGAAAGCTGACAGGCAGTGTGAGGTGTGCCATCCACAACGTTTTCTCTTAAGAGGACTAAAGGAGATAAGTTATGTGAGATAGTTAATATATGATATAAGGTAGTTAGTGCCCAGTAAACCCTAGCTCCCTCCCTCCTTCTGCAGCTCTCAATTACTCTGCGTCTGCTTTCACACAGGGACGGCCATGAGAAGCAGGTACTAGTAAATCTGGAAGGACTGTGCAAGTAAATGATTTACAGAGAGATGAGAAGAGAGAGGGGGTACCTTGTGGGGCACTTCTCCCCCCGGGGATGATCTGTATAGATATTTATCGTAAACTGGGATTAGCAAGGTGAGCAGCCATAGCCCACTTGAAAACAGGACAGAAGAAG